TTACAGCTTGTTCTCACCAGTTACCAGTTTTATTGGAAGCCTGAGCCACAATTACACAGTTGTACCATATTAGTGCAAGACTTCAGATCCTTACAACAGAAATAGTTAAATTTCTAAGAGCCACAAAATACTGTAGTAGAGGTTATGGAGAAATACTGTGGAGCTTCACTTATTATTTTATACATCCACTGACAGAGAATTCCTGAACAGAGAATCTTGGAGAAGACAAAATATAGATACTTATTTTAAGATTTTTTTTTAAAGCTTGAAGATATCCTTTTTTTTTTTCTTCTTCAGCATAACAGAGTTAGCAGATGAAAAATAGCTTTAATATTGTATGTGTCTAAATAATATAAGGGAAACATAAAAGATCTTTGTGGTGATAACTTGATATGTAATCTATATGTCATTTAGAAACCCTCAAAAACCCTCAAAATGATTAAAGCCTTCTTCTGACAGTTTACTAAGAAAAATTCCTGAAAAGCTAAGCATGACTCAGGTGAAAGTAAAGGAAGGAGAAAAGAAAAGAAGATATACTAAAGGAAAAGGTAGAAGAAGGGGATATTAACGTTGTCAGATAATCAATATCAGTAAAATTTATGCGATTTTTACAATTATGTTGTTCTTTGCCTGGGAAAACTAGCTTTTATTTTTTTAACTATTAGAAAAGGATTGGTATACATTTTGGGGTTTCTACATAAAAATACACTTCACAATGACAATATTATTTTCATTTTTTCATCTAGTTTATATAAAATGGCTTAGCTAAATTAGTCTTTTAAGATTACAAAGTATCTGCCTACCAAAGATACTGTGAAATCTGTACTTTATCAGTCTGAGATAATTTGGGGAGAAAATGAGAAATATTAGAGATAAATTATTCATTTTTTTTCCAAAATTTTAGATGGGAAGAATGCGAAAAGGTAAAAATCCCACTTTATGCAAAAACATTGTTTCTAAGGTTAAGTCTTCAAAACAGGTTATGGCATGGATTCCTACAAAGCTCTTAAGAGGAAGATGTGCCCACATATATGAGCAACAAAGCATCCTGGACAGTCTGTATTCCAACTTCAAAGCAGATCTCCACTTGCACATATTTGTGGAGCAGCATTTCACAGTTTCCCAGAAGTAAGTTAATGACTGTAATTACAGTATTGAAAGAGAAAGAATATCAATAAATGCACCAAAATCTATATGAATTTTGTGGTTGAAAAGACAGCAGAGGGTTGAATAAATGTCATTCATAATGTGTCAAGTCAGAGTGAACAAAAGCAACTGACTAATATTTGTCTATAACCATACTGATCTTTCATTTCTTTGTAATGAGAATTTAAAGGCTTTTCATTCCATTATGCTTTCCCCCTCTTCCATCTGTTTCTATGACTTCAGATCATCTAATTCCTTCAGCCCTCTGTCAGTTATTTCAAATTTCTCTTGAACTGTTTTCTCCCTGTATTGATTACCACTGAACTGCAAGAGATCTTCCATCAGCTTGCCCTCTTTACTGAAACATTGCCACAGGAGGTAAACAGTTCCGAAAGAACTTGCAGCAAGAGTTCAGTGTGTTCCTTAATCAAATTCTCATTAAAGACCAATATACTCCAAGAATTGTCATCCATAATGTCATCTGTCCCATGAATTTCTACACCAGCCATCACTGTAATGACATCTGTAAAGCTCTTACAGACTTTTTAAGGTAGACATTAAGAATTTACACCCACAATGGCAGTCTTTACACTCAACTAAAGATTAACTAACTGGTACACACAATTACTTTAAAAGTAATTTCTTTTTTTATAGTGGCATTGAATGAGCACAGACATTGTTTTATCTAATGCTGGTGACCTCAAACAGAATGTGTAGCAAAATAACAAGTGAAAGAGTATGGAAGTGGTTTCTTGGATCAATATCCTTATAGCAAAAGGTGTAATCATGATGAAAAATGAAAGACTTGTCAAAAGTAATAAAAATAACTGTATCTGACCGACATAATGGGATGCTTTTATGAAATGGTAACTGAAAATCATGCAGGCTTTTTCAGGTAGACCTACACTTTTTCTTTCATGATGGTCAGGAATCAGACAACCAGACAGTAAAATTCAAACGCAGAAATCTAATGCAAAGAGAAAGAATCATCCTAGTAAAAGTGCTTCATGTAGTGGAACAGCTGAATTTCCTTTTTGGTCTTTTTTTAGGTTTTTTTGGCTGATTTTGTTGCTGGGTTTGTTTGTTTGTTTGTTTGTTGGTTTTGTTTTTCTTTTATTTTTAATGCTATTATTCTCTAGGACCATAAGAGGAAACTTTTTGAAATCTTACATGTTCAGCCCAGCTACTCTAAATTAAGAATGACTGTAAGCAAAGATGTTCACAACTACCATGACTAGGAAAAAAAGTACTCTTTGTCCTTGGGTGCTGGTCCACACTTTGGCAGTAAGTGACGTGATCTTGATCTTATACCCTTAGTTCTGGTAGTTTCGTTCGAATTAAGACACAAAGGCAGCCAAAACAGCTGCATCATAAACTCCTATCTTCTGGTATTCAAAGTTACTACCAATATTCAGACCTACAGGAAGAAAATATTACAGATAATACTGATTACCTGTTGCTGTACCTACTAGTATTGACTAGAATCTATTGAACACAGATAGTATCAACTAAATTATTTCACTATTATTAAAACAAAAAAACAGGCAGAAAATTATTGGTCACAAAAACCTTATGACTGTTGAGGAATCTGACACATAAATCCTGATTTTAATGAAGATCTGATCTTATTATTATTTTCTCCCCATCTCACAGTTGTCTTTTTCCTCAGCTTCAATTCTAAGTGAATTAATTTAGGCTATATGATATATTTTCAGAAAACATTCCAATATGCGGAAATTATTTTGAAGTTGATAAGGATTAAATGTAATTAACTAGTCTTTTTAGACCAAAATTCAAGCATCTCAAAGTCTTTTATCTCCTCAGATTTCTTGGACCTACTTTTAAAATTAAATTTATTTGTATATAGCTATGTAAACATACAAAAGTTGGTGGAGTAGGGGGGCTGATGGGACACTTGATAATATACAAAATTCAGGAAAATAAATTTCTTTTTTATCTAGAATTATAGATAGTTTCAGTTGGAAAGGTCCTGTAAGATCATCAAGTACAATTGTAACCATAATGTTGCCACTGCAAAGTCTACCAATTTTTTGCCTACAATGTTAGTATCATTGTATTAAAACTGTGTAATTGTTATGTTATTCTTCATATAATGGTGCTTCTTACATTCATGAATGAATGTGCTCTTGACTAAATCTGTTCTAAAACCACAACTAAAACCTTAGAATTTCCTTTAAATAAAGTGTTATAACATTGTATAGCTAATAATCAAAGGTCAGGAAACTTGATGCAGCAGTGCTCTTACAAGGCTGTTAATGTGTCATGCAAATTGTGTGGATGTGTTGTGGTGTGCTTATCAAAACATTAATAATTTTAGAGAACCTGAACTACCATGTATGAAATTTTTAAAACTTTTAAGAGTAGATGCCATACCAGAATTTATTTGGGGTATAGAAAACAAAATACAAAACAAAGAGTACCATTCTTCTAGTTTTGGTTACAAAGTTTTAAATTATGATATTTAAATATATTTTAAAAAACAAACCATCAAAAAAAAAAAAAAGAGTCAATGAAAGAAGAAATTGAATGAGCTTTAGAGAAAGACCATATTTGCCTGCATGCACATCAGAATTTGGTTTTCTGGCAGCAAAAATGGGAAAAATGGAAACTACTTAAATAGAGAAGATAATGATTTATATTGATTTTGAAATTGCACTTTCAATAAAATTGAAAAAAAAAAAAATTGGAGATAAATTTGTCTGGAATTTTCATGTCTCATGAAACTTCCCCAAATCTGAATGCTCATGCAAAAAATTGTCATTCCAATATTAAAAAAAATTATACATTTGGCTTACTAGACAGAATGAACAGAAAACATAAGGCCTATATTTGAACATAGTGTTTGCTGATGTTTGTGAAGAAGGAGAAATTTTTGATGTAGCAGAACAAAATGATTTATATTTGGATATTGCTCAAGCAAATTTGGGAGACGAACAATGTGACATCTGGTCTTGGCAAAGGAGGCTCTGGTCTCCTCTGCTCTTCAATTCCATTTTGAATGGAAATTAGAAAGTCAAGTAAAGTATTTATTAATGGCTAATTAAAATATTTTAAAAATACTAAATTAAATTCTGGCAGTCAAAATTCATATAGGAATGACCGTCAAAAATTTGTTACTGTTTTGTTTCTGTGTTGTTTAATTTTGATATTGGAAGTTTTCCAGCCAAAGCAGATAAACCCAAGTAAAGAGTAAGACCCAGAAGAATCCAGATGGAAAGCCAAATTATAGATTTTTTTTTCCTACATGACTAAAAAGAAATATAAACAAATAAAAGTCCGAGATGATTAGCTGTCTTGCTTGCTTAGACATGGGGCACAAAACTAGACTGTAGTATATAAAGAATTAAATTATTTGATGGCCAAATTACAGACTGGTCTGAAAGTAAATGCTTCAGTATTCTAAATTATGAACTGAATTTTAGGTTGAGACAAATTAGAAACCCACTTAGATGTTCTGATTAGACGTTGTGAATTCTGGACCAAAAACCAATGACCGTGTTAGAAGTAAATTGGAGATGCTGAAACTAACTCTATCCACTGTTTGTGTTTTAACAATTAATTTAACATGATTTGCACAGAGGAATCAAAAGAAAATAAAAAAGCTTTTTCAGAGGTTGAAAAATCTCAAAAAAACTGAAAACAAGAGCAACCATGTGGGAATAAATCCTGCACCACTTTATTATGTTGATTAATGCTGGAATCATTTGTATTCACCATTATAATCAGGGAAAAAATGACATTTCAGTGAGTCAAAACCCAGAAGTTTGGCAGATATTAAAGATTCAAACATTTTTGGTTTTTTTTTTTTAATATTTTGTTCTTCTACCAGACTGTCTGAAAAAAATCTTACTTTCACATTGCCTTATGAATGGCAAAAGCAATTTGGAGCTGATTTTCAAGAAATGTTTCAGTGCCACTTCCCCCACATAACGAGACTTACTACCTGTTCAAAGAATGTGAAGAGGGGAAAAGAGTTGAGGTTTCCATAGTAACCTTTAGTAGTCCAAAGTAAAATTGCATAAAATGAAATCATTATCACTCAGCAACTAAAGAAGACAGCTCAGCTGATGAAGATCCAAGTTGTAAATGACTGCCGGTGAGTAGCAATTTTTTTCCCTACCTTTAGTATTACTATGCCTTTTATGGCAGAAAGAAAAGAGAAAAACATAACAAACCAAAAGACAAAATGTATGCTTCTGTTATGTTTAACAATTTTGAAAACTGATTTTTTATTCAGAAACAATGTGACTTAGAATACATGGTATCCATGGTAACCCAGGAGTTCCTAAAGATCACTCTGTTCATTTATCGGGAATATGAGCAGATTGTTTGTCTCCCGGTAGACTGCAAAATGTCCTGTTACTATATGGCTGGAAAACAAACTCAAAATGGCTTATAGAGCTTTCATTTCTCTTGCACTGCAGTAAAGAAAGATCTTTATTCACCAGATAATAGTAGTATGAAATAAATTGAAATATCTTTTAAGTACTTAATTCCTGAGACCTCCTAAAAGAAGCTGAAACATTGAGCAAAAATACCTTATCAGAATCAATAGAAGAAAGCAAATCCTTGAAAAGAAACAGTCTTTCTGAGGCATTTTTTCTCCCCTCTCTCCAAGTGACTGAAACTATGCAACCACTTCAATGCTGTTAATCCCTAATGGGTTTAATCAGTTACTTACTATGAGTGACAAATGTATCAGAACATTTATTTATTAAGCTTTTTCTTTACAGATATAATCTGATACAAAGAAACATAATTCAAGTGTGTGATGAGGAGGGGTTTGCTGCTTTGGTCTCCTTGTTTGTTTGGTTTTTTTTTTTTTAATATATATTTACATTAGAATGAAAGGAAGAATTCTGTGTACCTTACATTTCAGACTCCTATTATTAAAACAGCCTTATGCAATTTACTGTGCCACCATAAACATAAAGCTCTTCAGTCACTAGAAACATAGGAAAACATATACCTAGTGCCCCATTGCTAATCCCCTTTGGGCTGCTCAGTAAATAATTTGAAACAAAACAACAATACCAAAATACAAAGAATCACAGGAAATAGATGAGGTTGGTATTGTTAGGTTGATTCTGCTGTAGCCTCTACTGGGATAGGAACTGGTGTGCAACCTGTTTCTGAGGAAAATATGAAGAGTGCCCTGTCGCTATTCCATGGTCTGGATGAAGAGATGTACACAGGGACTGTGAAAGCATGTGCATGTTTATAGCTCGCAGAACAGTATGGTTAGGATTTCCAAGAATCCTGATAGTAAAATAAATGAGAGTTTTTCCATGCATTTTGCTTCTGATATGCTATTTGAAGTAAATTTAAGTCATTATACCTGAAGAAAAAGTTTCCTTTTTAGACATCCCTGCTTAGATAGAAATGGTTTTTGGCTGATGTTTGGGCTGTACTACTAAGCTGTGTGTTAGGATGTGTCTTCAGACAGATGTGGTCTTGACCTGTGCTAACCAAATTGTCACCCAGGTGGAAGTCAGGGCATTATAGAAACCTGATACTACATCTCAGCTAACAGGATGGTGCTCCAAACTTCTCCAAGCTCCTGTGCTCCATAGCATGGCGCTGCAGCAGCAGTGTGCCCACCATGAACTCAGTGCCTCGTTCATTCAATTACTTGACATGACTGGACAGAAACTGAAGTAGAAAGTTTAAAAATACCTTTTTTGAGATAGTGCATAGAATTCCCATAGAATGACTTTGATTACAGAGCATCATTCTAGAATGGAAAGATGAAAGAAACATGACCTTGAATGACATACACATATTTTTGGACTGTTTTCTTCCTACATGCTTTAGTTTTCTAAGTGGATTACCTTATACACAGAAAGCATATCTATTCATTCATGCATGAGTTGCTTTATTTTGAACATGAATTCATAAAACAAAAATAAAGGACCAGCAATTGTGAAAAATTTAAGTTTTTTTTTTCTCTCAGTCCAGGATCACTGATGGCTTAAAACATCAGTATATTCTATTTCCAATGATTTTCCCATTATAAGTCTCTAAGGACTAGTCAAGCCTCCACTTCTGTTGAAATGTCTTACTTTAAACATATCTTTACTTTATAACACACTCAAATATTTCAAATATCTCAAATAATCTTTTCACAATATATCATCATGAATTGCAAAAATTCACTAAAAATTAAAAAAACAACAAAAGATCCTTTCAAAAAAATTTAAAAGAAACATAATTAATTAAAATTAAAAACTACATCTAAAAAGAAATTCAAGTTCCACTTGTAATAATTTATAATAGATTTTTCTAAAGAAAGAAAGCATAAGTGCAGTTGAAGTAATTGGAGACTACTAATCATTTAACTTAGTCAATATTTTGTATAAGAACTTTTACAGAAATAATATTAAAGGATATTAAAGATGTTCAGCTCAGGCAAATTCACCAGTAGAACTAAATTTATTTTTTAAAAAATGTAAAATGAGAACGGAAATTGTACATTTCTGCAGAAGATCATTCAAGATTGGAAAGTCCATTTCACAAATAATTTTCCTGAAAGCTTTATAATAAAGGAAAAGCTAAAGAAAAAATATAAGCCATCCATGCATATATTAACATATATTCCTGCTACTAAATCTTCAATGTTTCTTCTTACATGGATTTAGCTACTAAGTTAGTCTTGTCAAATACAGCTCTACAAAATTTTGTTTCAGACATGACAGTATCCAGTCCTTGCTCCTTATCACTGGGCACTGATTCCCTGTATTCCTATGCATTTATTACTTTATATCTTCCCTGTCCTTTCTCATAATTAGTAGTCAGCATGATTGTTTTTCTGTGGTTACTGCTCCTTTTTTCTCACAATTATGTATGTTCCTTTTACCTTTCTGAGAAGAGCATGCATTTCATTATTTTCTTAAACTCTTCAAGGTCTGTCTTTTCATCAATGTCCTGAATTGTCTTGATACAACTCAGATGAAAAATAAAACCACATTTCTTGCAAGAACACAGCAAGACCATAGTTAACCTTATTCCTTCACTGAAGTGTTTTACATACTGGTAATTTATCTCAACATTTACTTACATGGAGTTTCTAGTGCAACTAGTAACCACAGGAGTGGAAACAAATCATAACCTGGCATCATTTCTGCAAATGATGTCTCATTCACATTGAGAACAAGATTAATCTCACCCATGTTTTCATATGCAGATGTAAGACAATGCAGTTTGTTTTCCTTTAAGTAAAAAGAGAGAATGAGGCTCACAAAGGCATAATTCAACTAATGTATTTTGGATTTCTTTTAGATGGCTCTATGTGCTTAGAATGAGTGAATGATAATATTTCAGATAGAAACATCTATGACTTGATTCCTCTGCCTGCACTTAAACACCCAGTGTTCATTGAGATGTCTTGGACTATTCTGCATGGATGTAACAGGAGTCTTCTAGAAAGGTCTGGCTCTCTGTATCCCCTGTACTGTCCTATGAAGATGTGTATTTTGCCTCAGGAACTCTCAGATGACTCCAACTGATTTGAAGTTCAGGATATATACATTTTAATATCAGTGTGTGAGGCAGGGGTCAAATTTATTTATCCAAACATAAGTACTGAATCTTATGGCTACTAAAGCTTATACCTGGCTTTCAATTGTTGTTTCAGAAAAGCATTGGTTCTCCATAAGTGCTTTGTAATAACTTATAGCAGCTATTTTTCCTAAATAAAAATAGATGCATCTGTATAGCAAACTGAAGAGCTCTTTACATGTGGAAGCTGTCATTATAGCTAACAGTGAACCAGAATTTAATTCTGTTGCCTAAATGGTGCTGATTAGAAATGGCTGAAATGTCCCAGGTTATCCTAGCCTATCATCAGTTGCTACCTTGGAATAGCATATATCTCCCTTCTGTCCCATGTAGTGCCCAAGAGCCTCATGCATGTCCCTGCCATGCCAGTACAACACAATTACATAATTATCCAAAATTTCACCCCACATCAAAACGTTCAGTGTTGTCAAAGGTGTTAGTCAAATCGAATGAGCCTTTCAGCTACCCAGAGGGGGGCATCCATTTCCATACATTCCCAAGGAGATCTAGGAACCATACAAAATGGAGACCTGCATGGTTTTGGACCAGCTACTGGAAGCCAGACCTAGGATCGAGAAAAAATAACTCCAGGTATTGTGAAATGTTGGCAACTGAGAAGGTAACTCAAGTGCTTTGTATAAAGGTGCCCATATGCTCCCTTGAGGGTGTTACTTAATTCTCCACTGAGCATAATAGTTGCATAAATGCCTCTTTCACAGGACTACACCTTCATTTAAAAGTTTTAATTTGCAGCTACTTTCTTATTTGATCAGATAATGTGCTGATTAGACCAAAATCAGGAAGTAGATTTTTAAATAAAAATTATATCTATCAGTTCTCAAATTAGACTGCCGTGCTGTGATCAATAAACTAAGTCACAGAAAGAACATCAGAACTGCAGTCTTTAAACTGACCTTAGTAAGGAATATATTCAGTCAGATTGTAAGTATGGAAAAACTTAGAACACACATGGGAGAAATAGCATAAAGATATTTTTCCCCTTGAACACTTGTTTTTCTCAGCTTAAAAAAAATATGATTTTCAGACTTTCTAAAACTTTAAAAATTACTTATAGTTAACAATTGACGATATTATGTCTGTTCATTAGTTTTTGAATGATATTACAGTGATAACTGAGTGGTTATTGAGGAGGATGTACTGATTCTAATTTAATCAATACTGTGACTTTGAAGGTACACAGAGTAGAAGCTTTTCTAACACTTTAGGCTAAACATATATTTTGAATGTAAACTTTCCCTTTTCCTCTTTAACACTCCCATGCAACACTTGCTGCTTCATTTTTTTTTTGGCATTTAAATACTGAAAAGGATTTAAAGCATGTCAACAGCATCTAAGAGAACATGCTGCTCCTGAAATAAATTTAATTACAAAAGTATTGTCTTATTCTCTGCTGTGACTATATTAATGATTCAGCAACTATCTCCATTATCACTCTGTAAGTTCCACTTATAACAGAGCAGCATGCTTTTTATTATATTAGGTGAATACAGGCTCTTTTTTGGTTCTTCACTCTGTAAA